CTTGTGTTTCAGCTCTGGGATGTAGGAATGAGTTCTGCATCTTGGATTGAAGAGATCGTTAACTTGTAATCTTTAGCTTTTTAAAATGTGAGAGTTGTCAGATTGTAAATACTGTTGAATCAGAGCTTTTTATCGGTTATAGCGAAGGTCGTTGTATTATAATCTTTCTCGATCTACGTGAGAATCCTCCAATTGTAACCTTTATTTGTTAACATGAACGTCGTCTGATTGTAATCCTTTGCGTTTAATGGGTATTAGCTATCTATCATGATTTTTTGACAGCCTACAAATTATTTTAACACATTGAAGACAGATGAAGAATTTGACGACGTGATTGTTGGAAACAATGAGAAGATGAAGGTTGAATGTGTTAGAAGTGTTCGCCTCAAGCTTCACACTAGGAAGATCGGAATTCTTCATCATGTGAGATATATGCTGACATGTGGTATTAATTTAATTTCGTTAGGTGAGATGGTATCTCGTGGGTACAAGCATGTGAGTGAAGGAGAGTAGTGCAAAGTGTATAGGGATGGTGATTTGATTTTGCAAGGGAGGAAGAATAGCAACCATATTTGTTATTTAGATGGGCGATCTGTTAATGGTGTAGATGACTCGTCTTAGACTCTTGTCCACAAGGGGGAGGTGAAGAATAAGAAGAAGAGAGTGATTTTTCTGAAGCTGTTGAGACACTTGGAGATTTTTCGTCGAGGGAGGATATGTTGAGTACCAACTCAAACTCCAAGTCGGATGCGTGTTTGAAGGCTAGGCCCAATCCTAGTAGTTTTCGTAGAGGCCAAGTTAACTTGGTGGGTAAGTCAAGGGTGTCTTTAAATAACGGCTCCTATTCTAGGGTTTAGAGTAGAGAAAAGGAGAGAGAGAATATTCTTGTAATCAATGTTTTAGAGGGTGTAATCGGGTTTAAGGATATTGTGAGAGAGAGGGTTTGGTCGTCTTTGACTGTGCAAAAGATTATAATTTGGAGGTGATAGTGGATTGATTTTGATCCCATGGTTTTTTCCTGTTAAAGGTTTTTCACGTTAAATCTTGTGTGATTCTATTTGCTGTGCGTTTGGTGACTTTTCGGGGTTTTTGTGATATCTAAATATCCCAACACTATATGGCGTGCATGAAGCATGTACCAATGAATTTTACTGGTCTGTAATCACTTATACCCAAAAATGTGGAACCTAGAGCTCTACCTCTACATCACATCTATGTATAATGTTATAAAGACATAGGACAAAGAAACTATTTACCACTAGAGGTAGATTGTAAGGGTGTGTTTGTTTCAATTCTTAAAATATTGAAAATCCTTTCTAGTAAAAAATTTATTTCCACCTTTTTCGTGTGTTTCTAGGAAACTCTTTTTTTTTTTTTTGGTATGGAAACATGCCGAGAAATTTTTTTCTATCCATTCTCTTATTTAGTTCAAAAACCAAAAATAAGAAGACATTTGAGTTGGAAACATTATCATCATTACTTAACTATTATATTTTAACAATTTCCCACATTATTCTATTATTTAAATATTAAAAACTTTCCAAGCTTTTCCAGCTCATTTTCTCACTTTTGGAGAAGAATTGATTTCCACCCTAAAAGTGATGTTTTCCCCGAAATGGTGTTTTCCCCACTTTAAGAAAACATTTCTTGAAATTTTTTATTGGAATAAATGAACGAACCGAAAAATATTGGAAACTTTTTTTTGAGTTTTCTAACAGCCTTTCCAAGAATTTCCACTCCAAACAATCACACGATAAATAGAGAGGGGGCAAAGAAAACCATGGGAGAGCACAAGCAGGGTACGATTTTTATTTTCTCAAAGGACAAATTTGTAAATGGGACAATTAATACATAGTGGCATATTTGCACAAGGCCAGCCTTGTCTTTTTGGACTCTGGTCAATTACTTATGGTTCGTCCACGAGACTACTTTTTGGCAACAAGTATCACGAGTTCAATACCTTGCCTTTACCCCCCGCATTCTTTACAAGTAAAAGTTGGTATTTTCTACAACTGGTAATTAAACAACCTAATCCGCCCCGACGATATCTTAAAGTTGTTTCAGTACATTAAAACCCTAAAGTTGTGATAAAGATTGAAGAATATGATTAACAATATTCAACAGGAGAAAAACGCGTCAGGCGCTATTCTCTTTTTTGAAGATAAACACGACCTACTAATACAAACAACATTTTTCTTCATTAAATTATTTCTTCCTCCTTCTTGAGCTGATAGGGGATGATCGAGAGCGCACGAGAACTGGTCGAATCAATGCCGATTACGCACATCTCACACAGAATTAGAAAAACAAGCTGTAACTCTTCAAACACAACCAGATCATAAACTGGCTGTGACCGAAGAATCCGAACAAGAACAAATTTACCCCACTTGCGTGGCCTTCGACGACTTCGTAGATCCTTCTTCCTATGATGCCAAATAAATTCGACCATATATAAATATATACATATATATGGTCGCTGTCTGAGACACAATCACATGATGAGCGACAATTTAGTTACTTATGAGGCGCGTCTTAATGGATGCAGTCACGTACGTACAGGTTCTAGTTGAGGGCTCCTCAAAAATACAGCTCATCTGCATGTGGCATCAGGTTTCCTCAAGGACCACGGACGAGAGATACGGCCAAAATACTTATACGGTTGAGAGTTAACAGCGCTTTTACTCCGAGTTGCTTTGTTTCTCTCCCTCTCTCTCTCTCTCTTTAATAGTGTTGTAAATGCATCTGGGGATCTTCAAGAGATTTGTCCAGCGAAGCTAGGCGCTCGTGTTGATGTTTGTTTGTCGTACACGTTGATGAGTAAATGAATTTATTATAATAATATTAGTTAATAAAAATGGTTTATTTTTGTTATTCAGGAGGGTACGAACGTTGTCGGTCTCAAATAGCATCCTAAGCACTCGCCCGTCGCTCGTAAATTCTCATCCGTGTTTTTTTATTTTATTATCTCTGGGTGTTTCACCCCTCCCTTCCGGAAAAATCACCGAGGCCCTGTCTTATTTTTAATTTATACATAAATCATTTTTAAAAGAGGTTTTTACTACAAACAGCCACCTCTAAGTCAATTTTTATTTTTATTTTACTAAAAAACCAAAATTACTTGTTAAAAACTCACACCGTGGGTACGTGATTCAAACCTTCAGTGTCCAGGTTTTGTTAAGATGGTTTATATATAAATTAAAAATAAAATGTTAATTTGTTGTTTAGGCCAAACCTGGATCAAGATGAAGTTCCAAGATATTGTATTCTGTTAACTCTCAACCGTACAAGTAGTATTTTTGGCACTTGTGTTAATATTTGTTGTCGAGCCAAGATACTGTATTTGTTTTGTCCACACATTGGTGCTCACTCTAACCGTTGACCTTCGCTTTCTAACGGTGATATTATTTGCCAAAATGGATATCAAAAATATTCCACTTCTCTGATCATAACCAAACTCTTTTGTCCCGTGAAACTTTCGCTACTTTTTGAGCACACAAAGAGCCCAGAGAGGAGTTCAGCGCGAAGCAACGTAGAGGCCGGATAATTAATAGTCTTCACGAGAGTGCGTGTGATTTTGATATGTTGAGTGTTCAAATTAAAGAGTCTCGCTAGCTTTGTTGCCCTGAAAGTGACACAAAGACCGACATTCTTTTCTTTGCTCAAGGGGAAATAAAAAAAAAAAAACAGAATGTAATCATCTTGTTCTACTAAAGGAGGAGAAAATGGGAGCTTATACTTTCATATGATTATTAGTTACCTTTTTTTTCACTTCAATTTGGATGGTTATTTCGCTTTTTCTAGTTAGCGCGAGGGTAACTCGCATGATATCTCAATCTGAAGGGAAAATAACGCCGCCTAATGTACTTGCAATGTAACTAAAAAAATTTATTATCATAAGAAGGTTCAAATGACTATAGTTACATACCTAAAGTACAATGAGAGTATCTAAAGTTTGACTGAGAAAGTATTATCGTAAGTTTCAGTAGAATCCTAGCTTCAAAAATCTTCGTGTAAAGAGAATTTTCTGTACCTGAGCTACTATTAATCACATCACTAAGCCAGCAAATAGATTTTAAATCGGAGTGATCCACCTTTCTAATCTAAACAGATATCCATCGGTGCCAAAAGATGGCCCATTATTTTCCGTATTTAAACAACTGTACAACTCATGTCTAAGTTTTGTGTCGCATCCTTCAAAATTCTGTTAAGAGTGGACTAAGGTGTTGATTATTGGTAGGGGGAACGTCTCCATCAAAATACAAATAATGATATACAAAGTTATATGTTAATCAAAGTCACCAGAACTGAATGAAACAAAGCTAAGAAGTTTGAGCCAGCTGGGTTTAGGTGGAAAATAATTAGATAAGCCATCGCTTCTAACGTTGCTCCGTTTTGGAATTTCCAGAAGATATGAGTTGCTTTGATATTATAGCGACAATATTTGATGTTTTCTCCAAACTCAAAGCTTCTCAAATTTCATCCATGGATGTTTCCTACGAAAAGCGAGGCGTTTTAAGAAAGAAAAGGGGAATGTTTAGTTAGGCGTGATTCTTTGCGTAATGTTCTTCTATGGACAGCTTTTAACCTTCACGAGCTGAGGGGGGCTAATTAATTCTCAACTCTCACTCGTTACCACGACCACGACGACAATAACAGAAGCATATATTAAAATTTTGAGATTGGCTAATTCTCCTTCACTACAAAAATTCTAAACCTTAACAAAAACAATAATGCCATGCTCTGCATGCTAACAGCTAGCATATATGATGAAATTTTGGCAAAATTAATCCGAATTAGCCAAAAAGTCAAATAAAAAGCAGTTGTACCGAGGAGAGAATCACAAGTTTTCTCTGATGAGATAGTACCAAACATAATAGTGAAGAAAATTACAACACGAGCTAAGATCCAAGATACAGGAGAAAGATGCTATCACAGGTATAAGAAACTTGTAAAACTTTGTACAAGACAGAAAAAATGTGACAATTAATCTTACAATGGCATACACGAAATCCAAGGAAAAACATTTGGATACAAGCCTACACATTTTACATTGCCAACCAGAGCAAATCCAAAAGTCATAAATAACATCATACGCTGGTTAAAAAAAAAGAAAAAAAAAGAAAGGAATAAAAAGAATAATACAGGGGCAGCAAATAACTAAATACATTAAAAACGCATTAAAAAATCTAAGGGTTAAAGAGCTTTCTAAAAGGCCCATCCTTTCGATCTTTAGCAGCCTCAGTCAAGGCAAGAAACCTCTTGAAACCGGTAGTTGCTGCTCCTCGACCAAGAGCAGCAGCACGGGTTAGCACATCTTCTCGTGATAATGCAGTGGCACCTGAAGCTACAGCTCCTACAGTTGAGGTTGTTGCTGGAACTGTCGGTATGGGCACAGTTGAAGAAGTCGTCGGAGTTGGTGGGGCTGAGTTCACGACAACTGTTGGTGTGACTGAAGGGTGCTTAATTGCTGGGGCGCGTTTGTTGAAGTCGTCCATTATCACTTGTTGATCTGACTTTTTCAATCCCTGCAACAAATTTGGACTTCAATCAATTTTGCTACTCTATTTATACAACAGCATCGACTAAGTGTTCATCCTAAAATTCTGGTCACTACATGATTCATATTCTTTCATTCAGTTCTGGTATCAGCCATCTCCTCTGTTAATTGAGGGCGAAGTGCACAAAATCCCCCACAAAGTTTGGCCCATTTTGACATAACCCCCAAAGATTTTAAAAGTCACTCAACTTCAAGAACTTTTGGGCCGTCCAAAAAACCCCCCACAATGTTTGAAATTTTTTAAACATGCCTCCCCAACAGCATAATGGAGGTTTTCTGAAACTTAATTAAAATTAATGGGGGTTTTCCAAAAAATAATGTAGAAGTTGGGGGTTTTCTGAACATAATGTTGACGGTTAGGGGATTTTCTGAAAAATAATATTGAAATTTAAGTGGGGTGAGTTCAAAAAATTGGGGCTTCAGAGTTTTACTTACTTTAACTATCACCACATCCTTCCTAATTGTTTTCAATCAGGTCCTCTTAGGACCACATCTAGCACCTCAGTGCCCAGTGCCCATTAACTATAATCTTTATCCCTTCTCCTAATTGTGCATTTAGTGGGTTCTATTGCAAGATATAACAACAAGATCTAGATAGGAAATAAAATACAACACTTAAGCTGCAAACCTTGAGATCAAGGATCCGTTGAAACTCTAGAGGTGTGCCCTCAGGCAGCAAAGCACGATATGTATCCCCAACAGATTCAATAGGAGATAAGATAACCTGCAGAAGGCATAAAAAAATCTCATTCAACATCGACATTTGGATTACAGTCAAGAGTCTGTTCAAGTTGTGGTCTAGTACCTTCAAGAGTGCTTCAGCTTTACTCATTTCACGGTTCACAAACTTTGAATAGCTAGAAGCAACTGTTGTCTGTTGAAGAAAAAATATCAACAAACTTGTTACTACTAAATAAGAAAACAACCCAATATTTTGCTTTACCAAATATACATAATATATGGTAAACAGTTCAATGCAATCACGCTGCCAGAAGATGACCATATATACCAAAATGCTACTGGAGGAGAAATTACCTTTTTCCCTAAAGCAGGTATGTCCATAAGTACTGTCTTGACAGCCTGAGTGTCTAATAGCATCTACAATACGTATAAAAGTGAAAGATGTAAGCCATACTACATGCCCGTGAATGTTTGTGCCTACTCAACTATTGTTTTGGCTTTCCAAAAACGAAAAATACCTGTTGAGCTCCTGTTTCTGATATATGTTTGCACCTGTAAATGTTAAGATAGAACCGAGGGCCAAGAGATGCTGCGAGCTTCATTAGAAACATACTAATTAACTACTTAAATCAGATTTTAATATGATTTGCAGGATATGAAAAACAGTACTATCTTTATGAACAATTAAACGTAGAGAACAGCTTGCCAAGGACTACAAGAAACTGAAATTATGGTGAAGAAACACACAGAAAAATTTATGGTGGTGATAATTTCAGATTATTTTATTGAATCCGCAAAGAAACACAAGAAGAAGAAGAAATAGTTTACAAGATATTGCAGACTTTCTAAAAAGTTGGGTAGGTCCCTATTGACATCCTCAAAAACCTCAAACCTTTTTCTGGTTACACATCCATAAGGAGTTTAATCACTCCACCAGCTTAAAATTTCACATTTTGTCATGTATTTTATGTCATGTGCTAAGAGAGCATAATAAAGTCTCTTTTCTGGTTCTGTAGAAGATCTAGTTTCTTTTACATACCTTGTCAAGGAAAAACTGGAAGTAGGTAGGAGAAAGTAGACTTCCAAAAACCGGAATGCTGCTGGAAAGTATTGAATTAATGCCATTGACATACCTGCAAGATATGAGGAAATACTCAAACAATGTTATTCAAAGTATTGATAAACAAAATGATAAAATACTTCCAATTTGGCAAATACACATAAAATGTACAACTGAAAAAAATGGTAGTTTATAATATGTATACTAACTTCCATTTAGAATCCAGTCAGATAAGCATTAAAACCTGCCTATCGATTCAGAGAAAGGCAACTACAAAAGAACGCCCGAAACTTGTAAAAGTTTACACTAGACCAGCAAAAAAAAAAGGAAAAAAGAAAAAGCCTTATCAATGAGGCAACAGGCATACCGGGATTTTCTTTGCCTTATAATCTATCACAATCGAATAGTAACAAAACTGGCCAGCAGATAAAAATAAAATATTGAATTAGTAAGCGCAACTAAGACTTTACTCTGACTGGTCGCCGACGCTTTCAAGAGTAGCCCATGGAACACGTGTCATTGCAATCATCTCAGCATCAAACTTGGTTTCAATACCGTGCACTAATGTCAACAATGCTTTTGTGATAACAGCCGAGAACTCATCCTGCATAACATAGAAAGTTTTTTGCTTTTAAATGTATAAACTATAGGGGTGAAATATAGTGACAATGCAGCAACGACAGGTACCTGAACATCTGACATATCCACCTTATCCGCAAATTGTGAGTCGATGATCTTTGAAACATTTTCAGCTAATTCACCAGACTGTTATAACAATCAGAAAAAAAATCAACTCCTCTTGAAACATGCTAGTATAACTAAATCTCAATTGAGTCAACAGATGCGTGTGTACAAGAAAGCAAGAGGAATTATATGCAGTAAACCAAAAGATTGCAAATATTCCAACAGCATTCAAGAGGAGTAAAAACAAGTATGAGAATGAGGAAGGAAAAAAAACAAACTTCCCAAATTCGAATACAGTTGTTACTTATTTCAGTTAATTTGACATTTTAAATACTGTAACCCCAAATAAATTGGGCATTCTGAACACAGGAGATTGAATGTATAAAAGTCTGTTTACAGAATCTTCAGAATGAAACAATGTGAGGTTCCAAGACAAATTACCGTCTGGTGGCAATATTCTGCAGTATTCACAATGTAGCATATCATTCTTTCATCCCTGTCAGATGTCTGTAGATATTATCATTAGATACAATCAGACACACTAGACCAAAAAGAATTGTTACTAACAAGCAACAAGTAAAAGAGTGCTTATATAACCTTGATTTGCCCATCTGTACCAGTAGCAGCTGCAACGAGCCCTGTACCCCCCTTGGGTAATCGAGAATAAAGTTTTGTTGCGTATGCTTTGAGGATTCTTTTAAACACCTGATCATGTTAATGATATCAGATTATATTAAAAGCTACCATGTAGAAAATATTCTGAATGGATCACAAATAACATGCTAAAATGATATCAGATTATATTAAAAGCTACCATGTAGAAAATATTCTGAATGGATCACAAATAACATGCTAAAAAAGTTCATAGCACAAAGACCTGCCATGTAGAAAATATTCTGAATGGATCACAAATAACATGCTAAAAAAGTTCATAGCACAAAGACCTGCTGCACTCGAACAATGGATTTTTGTCCTTTTACAAAAACACACCATAATTGGACATCGGACTCAACAAATTATGCACCATCCATCATGGTTTCACGGAAATTAAGTTCAAACAAACCATTTCTTACCAGGGACATTTTTATACATAGTAGAACTTAAGTAAATTCTAATAAAATCTAGCATTTTCCAGTTTAGTAACCAAGTAAATAGTCAGAACAAAGACGAAAACTCATATAATTGCATCCAAAAGTTCCTCGAACACTAAATTCACTAGTATCAATCAAGCGAGCAAAATAATTATTCAAGTTATCGTACAGTTAAAAGATATCAATAATAATGTGAGGTATCACATGTTATTGCCCCATCACTAGTCACGGTTTCAACCAAATAGATGTTTCAACAACTATCAGCCCCTAAAATTCTAAGAGAAAGTATTTGGAACAATAGTAATTGCATAAAATTGATATAATAAATTAAGGTTATACATGCTCCCATTTTGGTGGTATACATGCTACTATTTATAGTATAAACTATAACTAGAAAATCATCAACAATATAGGACTCGCAGATAGAAAAGTAGCATATGTGTATATAGAAGCGAAGTTCCATGGTCCAAAACAATAACTTAAGTTCAAGATAAAAATAGAAGCCAGATGTTTCTCATCAACAGCTTTTACTAAAACGAAGTAACGATTTGAAGTGTTTAATACAAAATATCCTGAAGTTCAGATTTACTTGAGTTGCAAAATGTAATGTTACAAGAGAATCGTGTGTTTAAGGCTGCAACAGAAACCCTTTAAAGAATCAGTTACAATGAATGTGTACCTCAAACAAACTAAACAGAGTTTGATTCTTCGTCAATGCACTACACCTCTTTAAGCTTCTCCTGATTATCAAGAATACCTGCAATAATAAAAATCGAAAACAGAGCTTCATGAGACTGTTGAACGAAGATCATACAAATATTAAACTAGCATCATAAGTGCAAATATAAATTCAAATAATCATTTTACTAGAAAAATACAATGTGTATAAAACCCAATAATATGAGAAGCAATTAGATTTTTCTGCATCTAACTTGCCTGCATACTGCTTGACAAAATATTTGTCTGGCTTCCCTCTTCAGTCTCCCAGGTTTCTTCCTGTACCAAACACATATGTAAGCGCAGAACTTCTGCTAAATAAGAATAAATTTTAGCTCATCATTATCCACCTGCACCAGCTTCTCCAAATGCTCCATAAGGGTTTTCTCCTCCAGTTCAACATACACAGCCAAATGGGGTTCAAAACATGATGAAATGATGCCACGGAAGTTGAACTGCAAATACATGTATGCAACACAGTCAATTGTCAAGGATTAAAGATTTATCTCCAAAAAATAACAACCATAAAGTAACATGTGCATTAAACAAAAACTAATCTATAAACAAACCCCAGCACCAGTCGCTAACAAATCCTTATGCTTGTCCTTTTCCTGTCATCATACAGGAGAAAGGAAATTATTAGGAGCAGCTGCAACAAGAATCCTGTTAATTCTATGCCGGATCAAGTTAGCACATACTTGCTCATTTCCACCCTGCTGCCCAGCAAACTTTTTTTCATACTTTCTTCGGATATCTGAGACGATTTGGTTGTTATTCTTTTCCTCATCTGCTGCTTCTAAATCACTTCCAAACTCTGTATTTCGAGAGTTTATGGTTCCCCCACCAAATTTCTCCGCCAATTCTTCCTCAAATTCAAGAGTCCTCTGCAGTGCCTGAAATGGAGATAGACGATATGAACACTCAAAATGGTAGAACTAAAAAGCAGTCCCTCAGATTTAATTGGAAAGAAAAGGAAAGTCAATAACATGGCTCTTTTTTACTCCAGCAAATCATTCTTAGATGAACAGTTCTTACAACATGTGCTTGAATAATGCTTGGCAGATACCAAAAGCTTCTTTTTGAGCAACTACATAGTTCATTCAGATCAAGAGAATTGTTTGACATTAGACTTATATTTTATTTCACAGCCCTAATATATTATGATTCATAGTACTCTTTCAACTCTGATTATTAGTTATTCAAATGCAAGATAATATATAGGCAAAAAATAGATGAAGCTATTTTATCCAGTCATAAAAGAGTAGACCTTGAATGTTTGTTTACATGATATACTAAATGAAATATAAATTATGAAAATATAAAATTGTAGAACACAATACATGAGATCCCCAAGAAATCAAGTCCCAAGCATATTAGGTAAGCTCAAGCCACTAGCAAACAAGTCAATGGAGATCCAAGCAAAAGAAAGAATATAACTTCAGTTTAGCTCCAATTTTGTGAACAAAATGAGTTAAGAGTATTACCATTAACAAACTCCAAATATTGTGAACAATTAGTTAGAGAATTACCATCAGTAATGTTCCTACATCTGGCTTTTCCTTGAGACTGTTGAGGATATCCACAATTTGTGTCCTGACAAATAAGAAGTAACTAATTTATGGTGATGGAGAAGATTCATATTTTGTACATCAAAAATTAAACAAAAGGTATGTAGCATTGCTTCTGCAAAATGATGACAATCATCCTGGGATCAATGCTTTACAGATAAATGAGACATAGAGACAGGTTGACTTAAAATACGAAAGAACTTTTTTTCCTTCAATATATGAGGGTTGCTAAGGCATTGTTTTTTGAAGAGAGTATAGTTCTCATAAAGCAGTCCATTTGTCTATGAAAATGACTAGTCACAATGTTACAGAAGGCATTAGGCGAACTAGGTGTTTTAACCAGCGCCTAGCGCTTAGACACCTAGGCGTACGCCAAGGCAGCGCTTAGGCGTTTTGCTATTTTTAAAATTATTTAATTAAAAATTAATATATATATATATATATATATCTATATATAATTTATATAAATTTGTAAAAAAATAGCAATATTAGATCCACAATAAAGCATGAATAGTTAAATACTAAGTAGCCAAAATAATAACTAACAATATTATAGAAAGCGCTAGGAGGCCTAGACGTTGGACTCGATGCCTAGAGCCTAGGAGGTTTTATTTTTTATTTTTTTAATTAAAATAATTGATAGTAAATATCAATGTTATAGAAGAGTAAGGTGTCGGACTGATGTCTAAGCGGATTTGTTTCTTCATTTAAGTGACGGTCGAGGAGGTTTTGCTGAAGGTCAGAGAAGATAGTGGAGGTGTTCATATTTAGAGATTAAAGGTGTTTGGAGGAGGTTAGAGAATATGGAGGCTGCAACATAGAAATCATGGTCAAAGCCTAAAGGGTTCACTCTACGTAAGCAGACAATGCTCTCCTAAACACTCTCAAAAATCTAGGTGGGCAACCTAGGCGCTGTCTAGGAGCTAGTTAGGCGGTCTAGGTACCGTCTAGGTCTAGGCGTACGCTTAGGTGAACTAGGTGAAGACTTTTTAAAACAGTGATTAGTCATCAACTAAAATAGTGTAGCTGCTCGAGAAAATCAAATTACAAAGTTTTAACAGGTCAGAAACTCTTGCATACAATGTGGAAATGATTTAAATACGACAAAATTACAAAAAACCTCCCTGAGGTTTGTAGAAGTGAGAAAAATTCCCCCTAAGGTTTTGAAACTAACACTTTCACCCCTCTTATTTAGATTTTCCATTCAATATTATGTAATGCTAAAAATACCCATATACTCTTCTCCATATGTAAACAAAATGGTCATTCACATTCAAGAGAAAACTATCATTCACCTTCTCTCTGCAATCAGCAGGCGAAGAAGCAAACCCAACAACATCAACTCTTCAGATCTCTTTAAAAAGAAGAAGAAGAAGTAGAAGAAAGAATTAAAAAAAGAAAAAGAAAATTCTTCATTAGACTATTCCATTTCTCTGCTTATCTCTCTATTCTAATTCACCACATGCATTGCCTGCATTTATTCCTCTATCCAACTGTATACGCAATGTACAAAGCAACCCAAAAATCAACCAGCCATCTTCAACCAAGTAACCTCCGAAACCCATCCTAATCCTTAACACCCTTCTTATGGTCTCAGCCAAATAAGTCAAACCTGATATCTTTATTTCAGAGCTGCCAGGAGAAATGAAAAGATGTTCATTTAGTTTCTACTTTCTATCACTTATGTTGATTTGGCTTAGTGCATATAGGTTACATATAGGCTAACTTCCAAGAAATTTGAAGGTCTCATGGAAGAGAATTGTTTGAATACTTGGCTCAATTCAACATACCAATCTTGTCCGATTTCATGGAATTTTGCATTGAGGTTATAAGTTTTTCTCCCACTCCCATTCAGAAGTAGCTTATTTCAATCATGTTCATCAAATTAAGAAAAGTACATGATGAGTACTCATCCCAAGGAGAGTAAATATCTTACAATTTCTACACAAAAAATCAATTAGAACCTCCATTTTTTTATGTTGCACTTCTTCTTAACTATTGGTGGAAAAAATAGATCTGAATAGAAAAAAAGGAGAACAAACTAGAAATGATCTAGGATCTAGGGGCATAAGTTTTTCTCTTTTTAAAGGTCTCTGAATTTCAACATGAGAAGAAGAAGAAGCTAACAGCGTTATTTCTGGGATTACAAGAATCACAAGATACTCATGCGAAAAAAATCTAAGTAGTGGGTATGAAAGTGTTAGTTTTGAAACCTTCGGGGGAGTTTCTGTCATTTCTACAAACCCCAAGGGGGTTTTCTGTAATTCATCCTTTAAAAAAAAAGATAACTAAAAATAAAGAGACCAACCTTTATGCATATTAAATACAAAACTGAAGTGGACCCACTTCAGTGGGTCTCAAGAGCAAACGGCCATGTAAGCAGGCAAATTTTGCTTATTAGCAGCCTACACAGCCCCTCATCAAGGCATAGTCGGCATTTTATATTAGCATGGATTCTGAAGAGACAATTTCTATTATATAACAACCTCTCTTGCTCTGATAACGCCACTTCATGAAAGAATAAAGGAACATATACCAAAGGTGTCACAAATTTTCATTTGAATATATGACTTCAAGATGATCTAGAAGCAATTAGAAGTTAAATCAGGCATGATTAACAGGAAGAACAATGCATTTTCTTCTGAAAATAACTAAAAGCCTTTGTAATTGACTCTGCGAGTGTAAGCATGGACTCTCCAATAAAACTATGTAAGCATGGACTCTCTAATAAAACTATCTGCAAAAGCAAACAAAAAGCTAAAGCAGAACAGACACAATGCAAAATGCCAAGAACAAACCTTGTCAGTTTGCAAAACTGGATACATAACAGATAGTCAACATGCCATGCAGGTGGGAAAATTTTCCAGATTTCTTCGTTAGTTCGCAATCGTCTCTTTATCCATGCATATCTCCTCTCTGTTTTATCCAATTTTGCTAGTTCTGAAAAGAAGAAAAAAGAAATAAAACCAAGAGTAAAGGACAACTCTTAAAGCGGTAGAGCCACGAACACTGAAAGTAACCTTAAGACAGATAAGACACCACCAAAACTATCCATCGAACTGACCTGCCCCTTCAAAAATCTGCTTATATGAAGTGAGTTCCTTACTACAAAAATTTTTCACTAGTTCTTCCCTAACAGATGGTTCTAGTGCATCAACAACCAAACAAGCATCTGATAACTGTTGCAATAAATTGGACTCCTCTGTCTCTTTTCCCGTTCCTAAGCTGCCAAAAGAATGCATCACATTAACAGATAGAACAACACATAATCAACTGACAAATGTTCGTAACGAATACAAACTCTGTTACACACTAACCATAATTTTTTTCCATTTCAGTATCAACACCCAAAAAGCAGGAAATATATACAATAGAAAAACAAGAAAGTCATAAGTTGGCCACTTGGAATCCAAAATGTGTCATACTATTCCGTAGACACAGTGCAGAATATAGCCATTGAAAAAAAAATGAGAAAATAGGGAGCATACGTTAACAAATAAATTATAAAAATACCATGAGATTATTTATCTATCAGGAAAAAGAGTTAAGTTTCAAAATTATCTTAGTCACAAAGCAAAAGAAATGAGCAATTCTCAAGTAGTTTGTCAAGGTAATAGGCGTAACTGTATAAAACAGATAAAAGTCATTATCACACATCCATTATCAAAAACCTAATATAAACTAGTCAGAAGAAATTTGTAAAACCATCAGCTATTTTTTTATTGCTGAGATTTATAAGTTCTCCAAACAACCTCCATGAAACCTGTGGCAGGCAGCCAAATGTACATATTTTATATGCTTTCTACCATATTTGAGAATGTGGTCCATCTCTTTATAGGCTGTCTCAACGTCTCTACTTGAATGTAATCCAATAGCAAATCTACAAGCAGGCGTCCTATCAGAACGCTCTGCACGGAGCAGGGCATTCTGAGCCAAGTTGTTAGGAGAGCAGTTTGGACACTTCACTGCCCCCCCCCACCCCCACCCCCTCTCTTTCTTCTGTTTGGTTTAGGTAACCCCGCACCGTGCAAGATTCTGATAGGGTCCTTTTCCAAATCTACCATCTTTCCCAGTTTTCTGGGCTTTTCTCCCAGTCATATGTTTGGAGGATGCCATCTCTCCTATAGGATTATGGCAAACAATCTCTTGACTATATTTCTCGGGCCAGGAATTTTGAACTAATGAAGAGGGGGTTGACTTCAGTTGACAGCCGTTCATGAAATTTGTCAATTTCATGGAGACTTACTCCATATTCAACCACATTATATTGGGAAATAGTTAAAATGAAGACGGCATTGACAATGATGATTTCTACTACATGAAAAACCAATCTTCATCAGAACAAGTGAAGAAGATCCAACCTAAGACATCGGAGGTTCCCAGACTTTGGTAACATTGTCAGGCAATGAACGATAGGTCTTGGTGCATCACATTAGGAACCCCGTGAATACTCTACAAACACATAACCTCCCGGAAGCACTTCTCTACTTTAACACATGCTTTGGTTCTAAGAACAACAATGTCATTGCAGAAACTCTTCTCTTTCTATACTATTTAATACATAGAGAGAAGACATCTTATCTGACCAATACAATTAGAAAGGCGTGAGCTAATTAAGTCCAAATACTTGTAAAAAAATTTCTAGAAAGGAATGACCTTTTGGCTATTAAGATAAAAGGAGAAGCAAGTGCTATCATAGCAGAGTGGTAAAGCCTATTTGCAGTGTGCAAGAGGTTTGGGGTTAAATCCCACTTGCACTAGGTTACAGCATAACTCCTAAAGAAACTAAAACTATTAGCTTACAAGAACTTATTGGATATGTATCAGAACATACCTTGAGAAATCTGAAAATACATGAGATTTGAGTATCTTTTTAATGTTCTTGAACTTCACTTTGATCTCATTTATTTTTGGGACATCCCTATATGCTTCGAAATGACTGCATAGCTGGTTTACTGCCTGACAAAAGTGAATTGTTTCAGTAAACTGCAGAGAGTGTAATGACAAAATATTTCACGCAAAGTAAAATTAATAACAAAAACCAAACCGACTTCACCAGCAGAGTATACAATTAAAAACAAGTTTGCAAATGAAAGAAGGTTAATTTACCTGCAAGATACACATCAGATAAAATAAAAGGCAAAGACACAAGGTGACGTCAAAAAGCCAAAGGATTATGCACAACATAACTTGATTACTAATAATAGGAGGAACACCATAGGAAGAACGAGTTCATGTTAAATGCTACCAAATCGATAAGGTTTAAGCAAGGAATTCATTGCGGACGCAACTATGCTGCTATACCATAAAAAGGTAATACAGCCATATTTGCCGTAAGTCTTGCACAGCTTTATTGATCTAAGGCCTCACATAATATATAGACTTTGTTGAAGATAATGATCGTCTTACCTCCAATTGTGCAGCAGCCTCCTTATACTGTCTTTTTGAAGCCATTATTTGAAGTTGTTCAACAGCTGACACTGAAAACATAACAAGAATATCATAATTGGGATATGTATATAATAAACAAAAGGTCACCAATATATGTATATACGTGTGAGAAAGAGCCTGTGCGCACGTATGCACACACGCTTTCATATGGAGAAAATTATGCTATTTTGATGGTAGGAATCTACTACGCTAGGTTACTCGGACGTAGCGTTTTGATCGCCATGTCCGTGTCCGTCACATGTCACATGTCGGACATGAATTCTCCATGGACGCGCCATGGATAAGTGTGGTTCAAAGCAAAATCCAACTTTCTCATTGCTTATACCATTAACTAGTTTATTTAGTAATATCAGGTTCGAAACCAATCGCTTTTTGAACCAAAAAACTGATACCCATTACTTAAATGTTTGAAAAATACCCATTGTAAAATCTCATGCGATCAAAACTAAACTTTTGTGTTAAACCTTATTCTTAGTTTTATTTAACTTGATTCTTAAATGTTATAGATAATAGAAAGAAACATACAAATGTGATATGTATTTTAATTCAATATTTGATCTAATGCAAATTTTACACACACACGCATACATATAGCCATGCCCCCTTATCCTACATTTTACAAATTTGTCGGGTTTCGTGTCCTCCGTGTCCATGCCCGCACCCGTGTCCATGCTATCTAGCTACTATAATATAGGTTCAAGAGAAGAGGAAAATGAAACTCAAAGGTTGTTAACATAGAAAGTGAATTAATGCCAAAGAAAGTTGCTAACCCAACATAGTCAGACGATGAAGGGCAGTAATGGTAGTAGTTATGTGCTTCTTCGCAAAGTCCAGTTTCTTAATGTCCCGACAAATTTCTTGAACCATTGTCTCACTTTGTTCAGCCTTCGTTTTAATTTCATGTATTTTGTGCATTAGTTCCTGATTATCAAGAGGAGAACAACAAGTCATTCAGTCCAAAAATATTAACAGAGTTGAGAAAGGAAAATTTCAGCTAAGGAGAGTCCATTTGATTGCAGCAATTATTGCACGATCATAAATATTCAAGACAAGGACCAACTAAAGTGAAGAAAAAAGACCTGGACAGCACGTGTTGCAGCGGCAAGATCTTCCTTGGCCTTTGTTCCTGAGTTACTCTTTGCAAGCAAAATTATATGATCATTCATCAGTAACAAATAAGAAACACATGATCACAGAGCAAATGCATATGCATATGCATACCTCGAGCGAAATGCCACTGACATGGTAATGTATCCCTAATGAGCAACTATAGACATAACACATGCAAAAATCAAGAACTAACCTGCTGGCGAACAGCTGCCAATATACCTGCATCCACACGTCGAATCTCGCTCTGTATCTTTTGCATAAGTGGTTCAACGCCAGATAATGATGCTTCTGTCAATATTTATGGTGTAAGCTTTCAAAATGACAGCATCTCAAGAAAACTAGGTGTTTGCAAGCATTGAAACATTATGCGACTCTGAATGTAATTATATTCCACGCACACATGGCATCTATGTATCCTAACTAAAATAACTAAATTTTATGGTATAGGCTAAACTATAGCATTCTCTTGGTCTTTCCAACAGGTTCATTTATTTGCTCTACATCTTCTGCATAAGTGGTTAGATAATTATGTTTCTGCAATTATTTATGGTGTAAGCTTGCAGAATGGCAACATCTCAAGAAAAATAGGTATCTGCAAGCATAGAATCATAGTTGATTATGATTGTAATTGTCTTTTTCCAATGTGACATATATGTATGCTAATTGAGAAAACCAGATTTATAACTAAGCCTAGACAAGAAACTTCTGGTTTTTCTTCTTCCAAATAGGCAGAAAGTTTGCCCATCATTGAACCTGGAAGACGGAAGGAAACACACAAACAATATTGCATAAGAAACCGACTTTCTTGGATGGTGAAGAAAGCTGCCCCTATCATGAACTTTTTGTGGTATCCTTGGAGCTAAAGTGAGGTTCCTACTCCCAACCATCTTAGTTTGATTACAATAAAATAATAATAGTAATAAAGAGATAAGGAACAACACCAGAACAACATCAGCAAGTAACTCAAATATTTAGAAAGTTTGTTTCAATCTCAGTCTATACAATGTAACATCACACCACTAGTCTACAAATTACACTTTTCAAGAACATGTCATTCAAATAATGCTTTCTTTGTTTCCCTCCCATTTTCCTCGTGTTGCATCCATCTTTGGTGCATTTCACTACCTTTGCTTTCAACTATAGCTTTGGAGTCTTGATTTACACAAGCAACTCAGACCCTAAGATGATGTATCTTACTTAGAAATCTATGCATAAATATAACTATACTCACAAGTGATATCAAATTGTTGACCTGGCAGAGTCCATTAGCGGCCACAGCGGAATCCATCCTAAACCCTAATTCAGTTCTTCCTAATGCCAAAATCATCCATAGTACATGATCGAGCCCCACCAGTACACCCACCAACACGCATCCATCATTATAAAACTCATGGAGTGGAGGAAAATTTGTTCTCCATCTGATAAATACATCCTTCCATTTCCTACTTAACTCCACTATAGATACAACTTTTAGAGTGGATTGAAAGAAATGACATTAGTTACATAGCGAACCTCTAGTGGTTGCCTCCTGTGGGAGTCGCATACCAAATCGTTACTCGATTCCTATTTATGATTGTAGTATGTGATGCAACATTTATTGTTTATTATTTATTATGTTTCTGGGATTTATTATTTCATAATGTGGTTCCCACTGTCAGACTACAGAGTATGCAAAATTCATAAAGATTATCACATATAGGATAAGTAAAGTGTTCCGAAAACAACTAGAACAACAATTTCCAAATCTAAGCAAAAGAAATTGTGAAAAAGGAACGAAATCGAACCGGTCGGAAACATCTGGTTGATGTACTCCAAAGCACTGGACTTGTCCATTGAAAATTTATCCTGCGACGAAAAAAAATGCAAATTCCAAACGCAAAGTCAATATTTCACATAGAGATAACTTCCAATGCTCACTGAATCAATTAGAACCTTCGTCAATCTGAAACCCTAGAGCTGGATCCAATTCGGCCAAGAACGAAGCTGAACGGAGAGGAAATGGAGGGGGGATTTTCTTAAACCCTAGATCAATGGAGAGATTGGATGATCTCGAGATCTGTTGTCTACTTCGTTTCGATTGATATCGAATTCAGTTGATTGAAGTTCTGATACCGAGAATTGAACTCTTCCCTCTTTCTTCGCTCCTCCCAGTTTAACTACTAGACTTGCAGATCTCAGGGAGCTTGCGCCACGGGGAATTGCGGTTCGGGTAGAAAACGGGTCGGGTTTAAAGTCAAACCCGGCTAGGAGCTGGGCCTTGAGTACCAGCCTAGGGCCTATGGCCCAGCCCAAACTAGCGGCCAGAAATAGGACGGGTGGTCTGTGAGGAGCAATTTAAGAGCTATTTTTGGGTATTTTCATAGATGAATGAAATTTAAATTAATTTCGATAGAGGTTTTTGCAAATGGTGAACCGGTTATGGATTTGCTATAGGACATTTCAACAGAGTTTGCAGCAAGTTAGTCCCTCTACTTAGCATCAGATTGAAGATTTTGGGGACTAAAATTTCAAAACACTTAACATATTTGACTATTTTCAAAATATGAAGATTTAGGGGACTGATTTCGAAATACTTAAAGATTTGGGGGATTAATTTCTATAGAACCACAAAACTAATTTCAAATATTAAACTTTTGGGGACTAATATTGGAAAAAAAAAACCCGGGGAAAAAAACTAGCACGGCTGAGCCGAGAATTTCAGCCACGAATGTCCAACTCAATAAGGAGGAAAAGAGGACCTGATAAGGTCTATTTAATTATGAGAAATGGAGGTCAAGAAATGCAGGCTGATGTGGATTGGGAGAGGAAAATGCTAGAGGCACACACCCCTAGGCCCTAACACACCTCCAATCATACTCCTCTCTCGTTACAGTGCATCGGGGCCCACATGAGAATTTTTTTATTCTCATGTGGCCCCCGGTGCACTGTAACGAGAGAGGACTGAGCCAGAGAGGAGTGTGGTTGGGGTGTGACCGTAGCGCTCTCCACCGCATGCAAGAAGCATACGACGCAGTTCGTCACAAAAATACAACCCCATAAAACCGCACTGCTAAAGAAAGAACAATTTTTCAAAACAGCCCCATTTAATTTTTTTTATTTTTAAAATCGACCGATTTTTTTTATTTATCAAAACCGACCCGTTTTTTGCCACGTAAACCTAATCACCTTTCTAAATAGTCGGGATTGCCAATCCCGACTATTTAGGAGTGCGTTAAACCCCAATTAGAAGCCTTAAACCCTAAAAATTTATGTCCTAAATAGTCGGGGTTGGCAACCCCAACTATTTAGGACGGTGATTAGGCTGACGTGGTAAAAAATGGGTTGGTTTTGATAAATAAAAAAAATCGGTCGATTTAAAAAAAAAAAAAAAAAATGAAGCTGTTTTGAAAAATTGTTCGCTAAAGAAACCTCCAACTGTGGGCCCCGCCATCACTGAGGTGCGAAAGTGAGTGAAAACGACAACTGCCCCATCTAAAAAGCTCCGCGTGTGAGGGCAGTTCCGTAATTATCCAACAGTACAGGGGAATTAAAACGAGGAGCGACGGTCGAAGTGATGAGAGCTGCGAATGATCCAGTGAGAGGATTCTCTCGCCGTCTTGCGATCGATCGGTGGAAGATTCGAGATATTTCAGTGCAGGTGCGTTCTTAATAATTTTCTTTTCTAATCGGTTATTCGTATTGTTTGGGGATTTTCCCCTTTCCTATTCAATCATTTTGATCGATTCGAGCTTGATAAACTCTGGAGGAGGACCTGCAAAAGGCGTATTTTAGCAACGCAGCTAGGCGCATGTTAGAGAGTAAAGAGGGCCTATTTTCGTTATAGATTTCTTTTAGCAAACCAGTTGAAGTTTTCTATCATTTGCGCCATAATATTCGAGCTAGTGTAACGTTTGAAAAGAAGTATATATGATTCAATGCCACTTGAATTTTATTATCGATGGAATTTTAATATAAAACTAAACAAGGGCCTAATCTGTTGTTGCAGGTTCACTTTCTATGTTAAAATTCACAAATTGATATTGGTGATTTAATATTCGATGCAAAAGATCAAGGTGGTTTAGTGTTCGCATAGAAACAAAGGATGTAGAATGCATAGTGATCAAAGAGATGTCGTTCCACATAAGAGGAATTTTCAATTATTGACATCTCCATGTTTAATTAGGTGGAGAACATGATGGGCCATAGTGTTACTTGATTGTCATCAGTTTCTACCCACATGCACATTTAGTTAAAATACGAACATGAAGTTACACTAGTACCACTTGCTGCATTCGCTTTCTTAATTGCTGCATAATTTGTAAAGTGTGATGCATAACTAAAAGACTAAGAGTTGTTTCTAGATGTTGAGGACGTTAAAAGGAAGGAAAACGGATAAGCAATAACCAAAGTGTAATCCAGTGTAGTGGCGGAGCAAGTCATTTTGACAAGGTGGTGGTTTTCTTTTTTGTTGGGGGGTGGGGTTCCCAAAAAGCATTGAAACACGATAACATATTTATTGTACGATTTATCATATAAACATTATTATACAATTGGTGTCAGCCTACCAACTTTAAAAATCAAAGTTCGGTGATCACTTTGTTTGAAATTTAGAAAAAGAATGAGGGTCCTACTAGTTAATTATTATTAGTGGCGGGTCCCACTAATAATATTTTATTAGTGCATAGTATTTCCTAAATACTATAAATAAGGCCCTAAACTCTTAAGGAAAACTCATCCTAGAAACTAACTCCTCTTATAGAAGAGTAAGAGAGAAAATATATAGAGTTTGTGAGAGCTCTTGGAGAGTATCTTGATCAAGAGAGGGTGTTCTCTTTGATCCTTTTCTTTTGGAGTATAAAGAAATTGGACGTCGTTGTTACACCGTGGAGTAGCTCGTAAGAGTGAACCACGTAATATCTGTGAGTACTCTGATTGAATTTGTGCCTACTGAATTTATTCTGTGCCCATTTGGGTGTGTATTGCGTCTCTGTTTGAGGTGTACTGATTGGGGTGTATCCTAACAACTGGTATCAGAGCCTGACTTAGAGTATATATTTGCTTATCGTATGCTCTGTGGCTACCACTAAAAGTGGATTCTCCACATCAGAAAATAAGTTAGATTATTATTTACTCTTTTAAGGCATTGGATACTATTCACGAATACGATACTATTCACCAGTACGGTACTATTTATAAGTATTGTTACTATTTACAAATACGGTTCAGGAAAGACGTAATCTTTCACTATGGGATCTACAGTTGAAGACAACAGGCTTCGAATTAAGAAATTCGACAGTCAAAATTTCAGGTATTAAAGGATGCAAATAGAAGACTATTTGTACCAGAATGATCTCTTCTTACCCCTCCAAAGAGTGGTGGGGAAACCTAAGAAAATGAACAACGACAAGTGAAAGGTGCTCGATCGTAAAACACTTGCCATCATCAGGCTTAACCTTCACCAACATGTGACTTACAACATCTCGTATGTGACCACCACCAAGGAGTTGATGGAGGCCTTGGAGGCGTTGTATGAGAAACCGCCTGCTTCAAATAAGGTGTACCTGATGAAGAAGCTGTTCAATCTAAAGATGCAGCAAGGAGCTCGCGTGGCGGACTTCTTGAACAAATTCCAGGCTCGCGTGGCGGACTTTTTAAACGAATTTCAGGCTGTGGTGCAACAGCTTGTTGCAGTAGATCTCAAGTTCGATAATGAGATCCAAGCTCTTCTGCTACTTTTTTGTCTACCAGATTTATGGGAGAATATAGTGATGGCGGTGAGCAACGCCAATGGCAATGACAAGATAAAGCTCGATACAGTAATTAGGGTAATTCTGGATGAAGAATCTCGTCGCAAAGTCTCAGAAGCTGAGACCTCAGTGCTCTGCATGTCGAGGCATGAGGACGTGCGCAGAAGAAGGATAAGGGACGACGAGACCAATCGAAATCTAGAGGGAAGTCTAAAGAGCCAAACCCGAATGGTTACGATGCAGGGAAGTGCTTCAGATGCGGAAAGAATGATCACTTTGTACAGGACTGCAGAGTTTCTGTTCCAGCATCAGCAGGGGATGATCGGGCTGACGGTGCAGCTAATCTCATGTACGAGACGGATTCAGATACGCTTCTCCTATCCCTAGAAGACAAAAGTGATGCGTGGGTCATCGATTCTGGCGCATCTTTCCATGTAACCTCACAACAAAAATTGCTTTCATTGTTTGTGAAGAATGACTTGGGGATAGCCTATCTTGGCGATGATCAACCTTGCAAGGTTTCCGGGAAAGGAAATTATACCCTCAAGATGGAAGGCGGGACCACCTTGACGTTGAACGATGTTTGACATGTATCGGATCTCAGACGAAATCTTATATCAATCGGGCAACTGACTGACTCTAGTTACAGAGTATCCTTCGAGCAGAGAAGCTGAAAGTTGTCCAAGGATGCCCTAATGGTGGCACACGACAAACGTGAGGGGTCTCTCTATATCGCCAACGGGAAGATCGATCACTTGTTTGTCGCAGGACAAGCATCATCATCATCCGTCGACTGCATGACTTAGCATCGACGACTGGGCCACATGAGCGAGAAGGGGATGCAAATTATGATCGCGGGAGAGAGGCTTCCGGGTCTAAACAAGATCGATCTGACTTTCTGTGAGGACTGCATCCTAGACAAACAAAAGAAAGTGAGCTTTAACAAGATCAGACCTGCTCTAAAACTACAGAAATTGGAGTTGGTGTACACCGACGTGTGGGGACCTACGTAAGTCCTATCTGTTGGAAAATCTCTTTACTTTGTTCTTTTATTGATGATACTACTAGAAAGTTGTGGGTATTCTTCTTGAAACACAAGTCAGATGTTTTCACCGTCTTAAAGAAGTGGCTTGCCTGTGTGAAGAACGAAACATGCAATAAGCCGAAGTGCCTAAAGTCTGATAATGGAGACGAGTATTGCAGCCAAGAGTTCGAGAACTTCTGCTCGTCCCGTGGGATTAGGAGACTCAAGACCGTCCCAGGCACACCTCAGCACAACGGAGTGGCGAAACGGATGAATCGCACTAACTTGGAGCGCGCTTGAAGTATGAGGATCCACTCCGGATTGCCCAAGAGTTTTTGGGCCGAAGCTGTCAATACTGTTGCATACTTGATCAACCGCGGGCCATCCGCGGCTCTCAGTTATGGGATATCTGAAGAGGCTTGGACCGAAAAGAAGCTGAAACTAGAGCATTTACGAGTATTTGGTTGTGACGCCTATGTCATGACCAATCCTACAGACCGGTAAAAACTTGATCCAAAGTCAAAGAAGCTTTCTTTCATCGGCTATGGAGGAGATGAGTATGGGTACCGTTTCTGGGATCACGATGCGCGCAAGGTGGTGTGCAGTCGTGACGTCGTGTTCCATGAGAATGCGGTGTACAAGACCAAAAAGGTGAGTGAGAGTCAGCTATCTCCCATCTTTTCTCAGATATTACTGACAGTGAGGACGACGGTGAAATACCTATCAGTATAGAAGACGGAGACCAAGAGAACGTACCGGATATACAGCAGCAGGATTTAGCATAGTTACCCATCGTAATTCGTAAAGCTCCAAGAAATCCAAGGGTACCAGAGAGGTACATTTTCACTATGAATTATCTTCTCTTAACTGACAATGGTGAGCCAGAAAGCTATGAGGAGATACAACAGATCGGCAAAGCTTGGGACGAGTGGGAGTCTGCCATGGAGGAAGAAATAAAGCCCTTGATAAAGAATGAGACTTGGAAGCTCGTAAAGCTTCCAATAAGGAGAAAGGCTCTTCACAATCGATGGATTTATCGGGTCAAGGAGGAAGCTGATGGACGGAGATGCTACAAGGCGAGGCTTGTAGTGAAGGGCTATGAGCAGAAGCAAGGATAGACTATTCTGACGTTTTCGCTCTCGTCGTCAAATTGATCACAATCCGGACTGTGTTGAGCATTGTGGCAATTCGAGATCTCCATCTAGAGCAGATGGATGTGAAGACGGTATTCCTTCATGAAGATTTGAAGGAAGATATCTATATTCATCAATCACTGGGCTTCGAGGAACGAGACAGGGAGGGCATTGTGTGTCACCTGCGCAAGAGCTTGTATGGCCTAAAGCAAGCTCCGCGACAGTGGTACATGAAGTTTGAGAACTTTATGGAGGAGAACGGTTTTCTCAAATGTGACACAGACCATTGCTTTTTCATCAAGAGATATGGAGAATCCTATGTGATACTCTTGATTTATGTTGATGACATGTTAATTGCAGAGCCCGACTTGGCCCGCATTGAAGAACTCAAGGGGTGTCTCTCCGAGTGCTTCGAGATGAAGGATTTGGGTTCAACAAACCAGATTCTGGGGATGAGGATCATCAGAGACAGATCAACACGAAGGCCGAGGTTATCTCAGAAGGCCTACATTGAGAAGATTCTTGAAAAATTTGGCATGGAGAAAACTAAACCAGTGGGCTCGTCGTTTGCAAGCCATTTCAAGCTATCGAAGATCCAAGCAACAGAAACTGCTGAAGAGCATGAGTTCATGACCAACATACAATTCGCATCTGTCGTCGGGAGTTTGATGTATGCGATGGTGTGCACAATGCCAGATATTGCATAAGGAGTAAGAGTTGTGAGCCACTTCACGAGCAATCCTGGGAAACAACA